CGTAAGTGATATAATGGAAGCAGATAAAAATAGCAGGCCAGTTTCCGAGCCCAGCCGGCTGGAGTGGCATTCCCGCAGGGCTGGCTGCAGGATCCACGGAGATCCAGCGGGAAGAGCCTTGTGCTTCCAGCACTGCGAGCTCCGGCCTCGATCGCCGGCGGCAAAGCGGAATGGCAGCTGCTGGAAGGGGCACAAAATTTGTGATTTGAACTGCTTTGGACTGCGGATCTCTGCGATGAGCTACCTGCGGCTAAGGGAACTTCTATTACGCCCCGCTCGGCGTGCGGCACGTATCGCGCTCCGTAAGCCCCACCGCTATCACCGCGTACTGCTGTTTGCAGCTAAGAAGATTACGGATTTCACTGTTAGTAAGAGCTTTTTGTTAGGGGCTGAGCCAATATCCCCCCGAATATTGTGCTGACTTCAGGGAGCTCTGGAAACAGGATTAAACACCAGAGGGCAAAGAGCAAGTGGCTGGTGACAGTTTTTAGCAGTTTCAGTTGCAGGATGAGAGCTGCTGAAAATGATGCCAACTCCAGGCTCAATCTCAAGCGCGTGGTTAGATAATAATATTATCACAAGTAAAGTTCTTGGAAACAGAGTCAATGTTTCCATGTTTTGAGGACACGAGGACACATGGTTGGAGCATGGAGATGGGAACTGAGAAACGGAGCCATCCTCAAACCCCAACATTTGCTCCTCTGTCACCTTGGGTCAAACCGCCCTGTGGCAGCAGCAGGAAGGAGCCCGGCTGGTCCGGGGGCTGCAGAGCCGCAGCGCGAGGAGGGGACCAGGGCATCGAGCAGGGTGCCCTGGAGCAAGCCACAGCATCAACCCCTGCACAGCAAAACGGGAGGATATTTGAGGCATCGTGACAGGCTGGTTAAACAGGAATGTTCTGGCTTTAGTAGAATGTGCACTGAAAAATAGTATTTTTAAAAATTTTACACCAAAACATCACATTATTCTTAAAGAGAGAAAAGAACCCCCAAACACTTCCATAGATTCATATCGTTAATGACAAATGGGGAAGGAGAGGGATATTGCTGCCCCTCAGCATGTCCTCAAAGGAGCACCTTGATTTTCCGCACACCAACTAGTCTCCAGAGCTATGGTAGCATCAGGGCTTATTTTTCAAAGGAAAACTTAGTGCTGCTTTAGCTGTCTTAGGCCACCCCATCTGGCCTCTGACCAGCTTCAAGTTTCAACCCTGGGTCCTTTTGTGCCTTTGCCTGCGTGAAGGGAGCGCTGTGATCGAGTGTTTTGCTCACGTATGGGTCCTAAAGTTGGGATCAAATCATTTCCCAACCTTCTCACCTTCCCTTTGAGGAGACCAGACTGAGTTCTTAGAGCCTTTCATTCTGAGACCCGTTTTTTCAGGTGACTTTTTCAGGTCACCGCTGGCCAGGATGACATTGTCCAAGCTGTCACCGAGGCTGCATCCTTTGTCACACAGTATTTGCTCACCTCGCCATGAATATTCATGGCTTCTGCCCTGGCTTACTGAGCAATCCGATTGCAGAGCATTAAGGATTTATCCTCATTATTTACTGCTGCACAAACTCAGTACCGCTTGAAAGTCTGTCTGTAGCAACTTCATTTATTCCTACTAGGCACTGATAGAAGCAGGCTGAGGTTGTCTTGTTCTAATTTATTAATCAAAACTTCATGCAGTACCAGCACAAATGCCTCGGAGATGTCTGCTCCAGCAACAAGCTCCTAATCGCGTTGAAAAATGATATCTAATTTGTTTGACAGAATCAATTTCCCCTCACCATGCTGGCTGCCATAAACTGCCTTAATTCCCTGCTAACAAAGTCCCATATCATTAGTTACATTATTTTTTTATGGAGCTGACACCAGTCTGATGGAGCTGTAATTATTTAAGCTCTCCCTTTTAATTAATGACCTCTCATTAGCATTTTTCCAGTCCTCTAGAACTTCCCCCACGTTTCAAAATTTATTAAAAATCAATAAAGCAGATCAGGACGCTTGGGCAGCCTTCAAAAAGCCTCCGACAGGAGTTACCCGGGGCTCCTGATTTAAGGTCTGGCTTTGCGAGCAGCCGCTCGCTGCTCTGGAATGAAAACCATCGTCACTGCACGCAAATTCCCTGGAAATTTCCCCAAATTCAGGACAGCCTTATGATGAGGCATCGTTCTGCCATTTCAATGGAATAAATGCCATTGCTTCCTTCTTCTCCAGTAATCTTAGCCGTCACTTTCTTGCTTTTTGTGGTGGTCTCCAGTTTTTCATTCTGTGCTTTTCCTCGACTTAACAATTTTCAGCGGCTCCGATGTCCCTGGGGCCCTCCATGTCCCCAGCTTCCCCCTCCTGCAGCTCACTCCTCCTTTCCAGCTGATTTTGCAGTCGCCCAAACAGGTGAGTGGCCTCAACCTTCCCTCCCATCGGAGTGTTTTCATTTCCCTAAAATCGGATGGTTTCTTTGACCCACACTGGAGTCCTGGAGCCCCCGGAGCTCTCCAGCTGCCTCATCCTGCTCCACCACCACCACAACCTTGGCTTTCTCACCCCCTTTTGCCAGAACCGAACCCTCTGCTGAGCTGAATCTTTCTCCTCCTTCTAACTGAGCGTTTCCCACCAGGAAAGGCAAGACAAGGAGTTTCTAAAGCAAGGGGGATCAGAAAAGCAAGCGGGCACCGCGAGCGCAGGCCGGTGCTGACTGAGCGCAGCCCGAGCCGCTCCTGTTTGCCCTGGGCGTGCACAGCTCCAGCGCCTCCTTCCACACCGACCTTTGCTCCTGCTGCTTCCATCCCACGGGAATAAACCCGTGTAGCCCAGGAAGCGGCCGGCATCACCGACCTCCATCTGAGTCTCCATCCAAAGCACTCGCTGCCAGCAGCACCCACAGCGCAAATTTTGGGGGTTATATATGTATAACCTTGTGTGCTTTCTCATACATTTTCTTACACTTTTCTTTCTGTACAGCTGAATACAGAATAGCAACATGGACACACTCACACCCTGGAAATCTGGGACGCTCGGAAAACACGGACATGCGGACACACGGACATCACTCTGACCCGAGCTTGGGCTTCCAAGACTCCCAGCAGATTTTTCAACTCCACATTTCCAGTTTAACTAGTGCCAGGGATGGGAGCTCTGGTGGCCACAGGGACAGGAGCTCTGGTGAGATGAAGGTGGTTTGGCAAAGCCTCTCCCTGCCCTGGGAAGGGTCTTCACCTGTGTCCAAAGCCTTGGCATGGGAGCTGCCCGATTTTACATGTCCCTGATACCCAGTGTTGCTTCTCCCAGCTGCATCCCCACCTGGGAAGGGAGACCCGGCGCGTGGCACTTCCATGCCCCACATCCCATCGCAGCCGTTGGCCTTGCCACCTCCAGGCTGCATTGAAATGTGTTGAAAAATATATATACTTATATAAATATATGTCTCCCCTAAGCTCCATGGAAGATAGACCTCACCAACATCTGACACTTGATACTTGAAGCCTGTCCTTTACATTAATCTTTCACACTTAACCTTGCACTGGAGCATTCTGTGGCTCTGCTTTACTGTAACGGGTCATTTTCCACAACAAATTACAGCAAAAAGAGGGCTCTGACCTTCTCACCTCCTCCAGCTTTGACCTTTCCTTTTCTTTGTGCTGTGTTTTCTACTTTTAACACATATTCACACATAGGGTCAACCCGCAACTCTCTTCCTTCTGTCATAGCTGTCCCCCTAGCCCCTCGCTGCCACTTTTGCGCCTTCTTGGGCACCAGTGTAGCCAGATCTGAGAGAGGATCTGCTGGAAAAAAATGGAGAAAAGGCACAAAAATTAGGGTCACTTCCCATGGGAGCAGTTCCCAGGACACAGCAGCTACACGTGGGCTGGGAGATGGGACGAGAAGCACAAGGATGAGGATGGGCGGAGGAAACCAGAGAAGGAAAGGGGAAGGAAAGGGGGGAGCTGGCAGCCGCTAAAGCAAGTTCTGCCACCAAGAAGCAGCTCGAGAAAAAACTACACACTTGCTGTCTTATTTTTGCTGCTGATCTTATTTTTACTGAATGTGTAATATCTGCTGCGGCAAAACAAATATCACTCTTGGGCTTTTGCCATGCCATGAATTTTTAATGTTTTCGTTTCTTTAATAGAGCACATTAGGGTTGTAGCGGGAGCCCGTGACTGCGTGAGAGTGAAACTCCGCTCCGTTACCTGCTCGTGCACCCCCGAGGCCATCTGTCCCCAGCATTTTGCAGCTGCAGAGCCAAATCCAACTGCTAGTTTGGTGCAAACTAGCTACCACCCAAAACAAACAAATAAATAAATAAATAAAGATCGCTTAGGAAGCGACTGCATCT